GTGAGAAGAAGCCTTCGACGCGCCACCGGAGGTTTCCTCTCGGCCACCACGAACCACCTAGCTCGCTAGCTCCTTTCGGCGCCTAGCTTGCCACTCCTTGGAGCTTTATCAATGGAGGAATATTCCAAGGAAAAAGAAAGGAAAAAAGAATTAAAAATCTGATTTTTCTGCTCTATACGTGTGCTCTTCCTCCTCTCTCTCTCTCTCTCCCATGAGGTGTCATATATAATAAATAAAATATCTAGGGGTAATGATGAGTTTGTTGGGTGTAAAATACCCCTCATACCCCTAGAATCACATTTTGTGCATGAATCTTATCCTCCAAGTGGCAATGATCCATTGGTAGCTCTGGCAGGCGGTTACAGCAGTCCTCCACGTGCAGGGACAGCTGTCCAGTGCCAACTGTCCTGATGCAGAAATATCTTTTTGTCTTTTTCTGCGCCAGAAATGCCAAGGCATTTCAATCTGCTTTAGCAACGTGTGATGCCGCGGCATTACTTCCCAAAGAATCATTTTCCTTGCTATTCCCTGCACACCATAGACAAACTGCACCTTTCCCTCAAACAGCACCATTGAGAAATAAAATAGTTCAACCATCACAAATGCAACTATATGCAACTACATGATCCTATAATGACTAAAATGAGCTTTTAAACAAACAATAACTTAAGTGAAAAAGGCTTTAAAAGTAGCCTTTTTAGGAAGTTAACACTCGGCCTCTGCTAGCCGATCCAGGTGCTCTCTCCTAAGTACGTCCCCGTGTGGGAGTCTGAACTATACTATGAGAACTAGCGGGAGTATGAGCTAGTGTCTGAAATGAACGATCTCGCTCTGGACAGTCCCTCAAAAAAATGGTCACCAGAACCACACTTATAACATGTGCCCAATTTCATTCTGTATTCTCCAATATGATGTTTTCCACAGTAATCACATATCTTCAAAGGTTGCAACCCAGACGATCCACCATGTCTAGAAGAATGTACAATTGAAGAACCGGATGCAACAGGTCTGACACTCGCACCGCCTCTCTGAAAGGAATCACCCCTGCCTCTCTTGCTAGGATGTGCAGAAGAATTAGCAGAACCAGAAGGCCTCCTAAATCGGGTTTGAGCTCGATCACTATCTCTCTTGTGCTCCATACCCAGTTTCTCTATTTCCTCAGCAGTCTTGGCTATCTCAACCAAAGCATCAAAATTCCTCTCTCGGTGGGTAGCGACTCGACTCCTGATCTCATACTTGAGTCCATTCTCAAACCTCAAGCATCGATTTGTCTCAGTGTCCACAAGTCCATGAGCATATCGGCTCAATCGGATGAACTCAACCTCGTAATCCATAACAGACATATTACCCTGCTCCAGATTCTGAAACTCCTGGCGTCGCTCCTGCAGATATCTCTCTCTGATGTAGCGACTCCGGAAGCGCATCTTGAAAAGATCCCATGTTAATTGGTTCCTCGGAATACTACCAGAAATGGATTGCCACCATCTGAAGCTTTTTTTCTTTAACATAGTTAGGGCCCCCTTTAACTTTTGCTCAGGTCTGAGGTCCATCTCATCTATAATCCTCTCTGTGTCCTCCAGCCAATACTCAGTGTCTGTCGGAGGTCCACCAGTAATACCCTCGAATGGAACTACACCAGCAGCAACCAGAGAATTTGAAATCTCCACTGCAGTCATATTACTAGGGGCTCTAGCAGCTCTCTGAAACATGCAGAAGATAGCTCTATTAATGGCGTCTTCATTCATCTCAGTATCCTCATCTTCAGTGACGGGAGGGTCTCTCACAGGAGTAAACTGATTATCATGAGAAAGAGTCGGATCTACTTGCAGAACAGGAGGATCACGTGGTGACATTGGATCGTCTATCGTAATAGAAGGTTGAGTGACTCGCCCTCTACCACGTCCACGTCTTGTCCTACAACCTCTAGCAGCATTCATCGCTGGATCTATAAGGCTCTACAGAAAGAATTTGAAACATGTGTCAGATTAGCATCAGGGATCTCGAGAAAACTTTAAATCATAACATAAGGTGACATTTTTTTTAATTTCTTAAGAATTCAAAGTTTAGGACCCATATACAGTCCGAGTTTTTAAAACCGAAAGCTCTGATACCACCAAATATAACCCCCAAACCCAGTCTGTAAGATAGACTCAAACCTAAGTGGTCACATATCCCATTCAGAGGTTTTTTTTTATAACTTATAGAACGTTAAATATAATATAGAACAAAATATTAATAATACAGATATGTCCAAAATTATAGCAAATACATGTCACCAAACATAACTGAAAAATATATAGAAATATATGTTCGTACAAAATAAGTAGTGGATTTCCCCTGATGCCAAATCTGCTAGTTCACGGTCTGTTGTTATCTGAAAAAGGGTAAAAACTATAAAATGAGCTAAAAAGCTCAGTGTGCTCCAAACAGTGTATAAAATATACGAATAAAATATTCCAGTAAAATCAGTCATCAAACATGTTTTATTTTTTTTTAAATATGAATACAACCCAATCCATCAAGTCCAAAATGTGTAGGTTCCCCAGAACCATACACCCACCAACAAGTCCAGTAAGGCCCTGAGCACACAGCAGAGGAGCCGGTAAATAAGGTCCTGAGCACACAGCAGAGGAACCTCCAGGTATACTTCCTCCAACATTATTCCCCCCAAATAATCATATTCCGCTTATAACGAATATATATATATATCAAAATTAAAACATAATTCAGGTCAAGTACAAATCAGAGTCCATGTCAAGATCACATAAAAATTCAGGTCAAATATCATATCAGAATCCAGGTAAAAAATCAGATAAACTATTTATATGATAGTTTAAAACAGTAAAATAACACTGTCAGGAACACACCTGTAACAGTCTGGGAAATCAGATAGGGAAGCCTATTACTGGGTCTGTCGATCACATTCTGCTGCAGCGCTAGATCCTACGAATTGGAAAAATCTATATTGGAATCCTAATATAAATAATCTAAATATTATTTAAATAATATGCGGAAACCTACAGGTAATTCTCGTAGTACGCAGTTCAGGCTGATCTAACGAACGGATAACACCGGACCTAATTGATCCTTGCTCAGGTGAAACACGAGTACCTTTATACAATATTTTTATTGAATAAATCCTTAACCAAATCTCAATTAAATAATCAAAATATTAAAATATTAAGCCTTTTGGGTTTACAAGCTTGATTCGGGAATTTCGGATCAGAATTTGGCAAAACGGACTTCGGAATCAGATTCAGGACGTCCAAAAACATAAAGTATGACTTTTCGGATATTTAAATTCTTGGTCAAATTCAAAGTCAAAGGGTTTTACTGACAATTTGGAGACTTTCGGGTTCGAATTTGGTGAAACGGACTTCGGATTCGAATTTGGAACGTCGAAAAATGTCAGGATAGGTATACTCGGTCGAAAAAAAAGGTCGTTTAATGCCCGGTCAAAGCCGGTCAAAGTTCTGGTCAAAGGAAGTCAACGGTCAACGGGTCGGGTCAACGGGTCGAGTCGGGTCAACCCGGTTCAGACTGGTCAAACCAATCAAGCCGGTCAAAACCGGTTAAACCGGTTTTCCAGATATTCACTCGCCCTACGGCGGCGCGTGGGACCTCCTCCGGGGCTCTAAAAATCACGGAAAAATTTCTAAAAATTATTTTGAGCGATTTCGAGATACTTACAAAGATCGGTTCAAATTTTTGAATGGCGGAGAGCTCGATTTCAACACGGCCGAATCTTTGACTGCTTCACCTCCCCACGCACCGCCGTCGACAGAGACCAAGGATGATACCGGCGGACTCAGAACGGCACAAGGAACACGATGGTGCGGGAGGTGTCGTAAATGGAGCAACTATCGGCGATGAATTTAGGATTTTCTAGGCGATTGAGCTAAATAAAAGTCGATGCTTTGACTTGAAATTCACGGCGTTTGGCAGTGTTTCGCTTCAATTAATTTAAGGGGATTGTTCCTGACTCGATAACGAACACGATGGTGCTTTCAAAACGACGATCGGAATTCAGACGGCATCGGGATCGTCGTTGGAAGTTGGCGTAGGGGAAGGGGATTTTTGGATGTGATTTTCTGTTTTGAAAACAGAAAACCACGTGTGTATATATATATATATATAAACCAAAACATACCTAACATTTAAGGGTAAATTCAGGGTTTGGTCCCTGAATTTCCTTTAACTCTAAAACAAACTACAAATTTTAAAAACTTCTAATTTAGTACTCAAATTTCACCAATTCACTTAATTAACTCCTCTAAATTCAATTAATTATTATTATTATTATTATTATTTTCAAATTTTCGGGTTGTTACATGTTTTTAGCTGATATGCAGGGTTACAAAATTTCGTTCACGCATACAATTACAAAGAAGATGTCGCGCGATTTTGACGTTGTCTTAATAGATTGTTGTCCAAATGACCTCCAAAATACATTACATCACTTGAAAAAATAATTTTAGTTATATCCTATATGAGAATGTATTATAAAATTTTCATGCACTTTAGTTTTGATTCGAGTTTGAGTTTTCACTCAGTTAAATTTAAAATTTCCTTTTTATTTCAAGTTTTTTCGTGCTTTGATTCATGATTTCGAGTTCAAGCTTAAAAAATTTAGGTTGGCGAGTGTTCGAGTTGAGTTATACTCTATTTTAAAATTTGTGAGTCAAGCTCAACTTGGCCCTTTTGCGTCCAGGATATGATTGTACCGTTAAATCTGGACTTTTAGTGAGAAATGTACCTTTAAAATGATAATTTTTGTTGCATTAGTAAATTTTAGCTTTTTTTTTCTTAGAGGAAAATATATATATATATATATATGCATATTTCAAATTTAGATTTGAGTTTCTACGCTTCAAAAGAGAATTTTACTTGAGAGATTGGACAAAAAGCAGAAATTTCCAGCATATATTAGGTAGGATTTTTGAACTTTTTAAGAAGAAAATGTATATATGTGCATATTAATTGGTTTTGTTTTGTTGCAGCTCCAACCTGGTTTGAGCTCCTATGCGGAAGATCCACAGGCTGCAGCAAATTCACTAGTTCCTCTTCTTGACAAGGCGGAAATCGCTGTACCTGTAGATTTGCGATCAAAAACTCCCGTCAGAGTGGGGGTTTGTATACTTAGCTGCTTTGTTCATGCTTATATTTTTGAATTCTGAATCCTTTAACTTGCTGAAAATTGGGATTTTAACTGTTGCTTAGGCAACTGCGGGGCTGAGGGCATTGGAAGGCGATGCAGCCGACAGAATTTTGCAAGCGGTAATTCTACATTTGGAAATTCCAACTATGTTGATTATTTTTTCCATTTCATCAGGCTAATGTTGTTTTAATTACTTATAAAGGTTAGGGATCTTCTGAAAGAGAGAAGCACCCTCAAGTTGGATGCAAATGGTGTCAGAATTCTGGATGGCTCTCAAGAAGGTTCTTATGAGTGGGTATGTTTTGCCATCTTCGTACGTCAAGGTGCTGTCCGAATTCGTAGTTTCTTAATCGCCATCCTCCTTTGCAGGTGACAATAAATTACCTATTGGGGAATTTGGGAGGGACATACCAAGACACAGTTGGCATAGTTGATCTTGGTGGTGGATCTGTGCAAATGGCATATGCCATCTCCGAGGATGCTGCTTCAAAGGCTCCAAGTGCACCAGATGGAGAGGAGAATTATGTAAACCAAATGTACCTAAAGGGATCAAAATATTACCTCTATGTTCACAGGTTTTTCTCTTTCATTTTTTTTCTCTCTGTAGTCTAATCAAACCATCCTACTAATCATTATAAGCTTAGATGATGTACTTCGGGATTTTTGCATACAGTTATTTGGGCTATGGCCTATTGGCAGCTCGAGCTGAAAGTTTGAAGGCATCTGATGTTTCTGGCAACCCTTGCATCTTGGAGGGTTTTGATGGTATGTATGTTAGATTTATCAGATGATTCTGGCAACACTTACATACAGTAGCATCCTATGTTCTGTGGATGGCCGAATATGTGCCGTTTATGTATAACATATTCGAGCTTTTTATCGTTACAAGGTTCTTATGCATATAACGGAAAAGAATATAAAGTGTCGGCTCCGTCATCGGGGACAAACATGGAAGAATGCAGGAGGGTGACTCTCAAGGCTCTTAAAATAAATGATACATGTACATATATGAAGTGTACATTCGGTGGTATTTGGAATGGCGGAGGTGGAGATGGACAGAAGAATATGTTTGCGGGCTCGCTTTTCTTCGACAGGGCTGCTCAGGTAACGTTTATCAAAGAGTCACATTGCATGAAATAAACGATGGAAGCAAGTGATTTTCCATTCTAACCGAATCGTTTCATGAATACAGGCCGGTTTCATTAAAGCTGCTGATCATGTTGCAATAGTTAAGCCTCATGCTTTTGCAGAAGCTGCTCAGCGCGCTTGCCGAACCAAGTACGGGGACGCAAAGGCGATGTTCCCGGATTTCAGTGAGGAGGACTTGGCATACATTTTCATGGATCTAGTTTATCAATACACCCTGCTGACCGATGGATTCGGTAAGGCCATACTTGATCGTTTTTTGGTTATGCAATTGCATATCCTATTACAATGGTATCCTAAGTTTCTGTTCTCTTGGACAGGCCTTGATCCCTACCAAGATATCACATTGGTAAGGCGCGTGAAATACGGGAATTCCTATGTGGAAGCTGCTTGGCCACTGGGCAGTGCCATCGAGGCCGTATCATCTTGAAGCAGAATTCCAGGTAATGAGGCTGTAGGTAGCCATGTTCACGTTTGAAATCGGATTTCAGAGGGAATAAAGGATAAGAATTAATCATCTGTTAGTACATTACTACTATGTATTGTGAATTCCATATGAATTGGTTCATTTATTGTCCTACGGAACTGAACAAACGGATTATATAATGTCAGTGTGGATGTATCCCTAATATCTTTGTCAGCGTAAAAAACTACTTGTGTGCGTCTCAAATAGTAGTATGTTTAAAAAGATTGAGATGTTATTATCTATTTATTTGTATTTCTATCATTTGAATTGAATTCTTTATAGCAAATCAACATACCAATAAAAATATAACTTACCACTACTTACAATAATAAATTCTTATTTAATTTAGATTACTATTTAACTTATCCGAAACATGACATTGAGATTACCATTAGAAAACTCATAACATAAGGATTCCGAATATGTACTTATCTTTCGATTTGAGTGAGAGAAAAGTATTGAATTTTGGAGAGATTTTAAGGTTTAAAGAAGTTTAGAGTTTAACAAGGGTGATTGGAAGAAGACGACGGTATGAATGACTTCTAATTAAACTTTCCTTAATACACCTTATAGTCGGTTGAGAAAACCCTCCAAGGAAGGTTTTCTAATTTGCTTATTTTAACTAATTTAAGAAATTGGATCAAATTATAAATGAATGTCCTACCCTTATTGTTACCCCTCCACCTATTGAAGCTTTTGGAGGAATTCCTTCCGGATTTTTATAACCTATGATGAGCCACAATATCTCAGCATAATTACTGGTAGATTTTTGTGATTTGTTAGAGTCAAATATATCATCTAACAATTATATCTATTTGCATTGATAGCTTACAGATAGCCATATTATTGATAATGCAAATAGCGGATAGATATTTTAGGGGGTATGTTACCCTTATTTAGGGAGTAGTTGAAATAGGTAATTGTTATTTGATAACTCTACTCTTCTAATACTTCTATAAAAGGGAAGTCTCTCTCGTTAAGTACATAGAAATTGATAGTTTCAGTATTTCTTTCTTGGAAATTTCTTATTGAAGAGTGCAACACAAGCGGGTTTCACTTCCTCACTTCGGGTGTATGAGGTTTCAAAGACTGTGTTGATCTTTTTGGGGGAACATCCACTTTTGGGATTACATCAATTTGGACGAAATTGCTTCTAAAGCAGTGGCTGCCATACTACGATACAATCCATCGTTTTATTTTCTTTTATTCTTTTATTATTATTTGATAGTCAATATTAACGATTTTATTTTACAACAATATTGTTTTCTTACAATTTAGAAGCAACTTTTACTGTTGCCAAACACGAACAAAGATGTCACCTACAATCATTCCAGATAAAACAGCAATGAACAATGTATTAAGAACAGAATGGCTAGTCCGAGGACATTAAACAATGCAAGGCCATTGGTATTAATATAGGTTGATGATTTGTTGATAGCGAGAAATGATAAAGGGTTGGCTGATAATTGAAGGCTCTGTTGAATTAAAGCTTCAAGATGGACTTCGGAACTTTGAAATATTTCGTAGGCTTTGAGGTGATGAAATAAAAAGAAGGAATTTCAATAAGTCAAAGAAAATATGCATTGGAGCTTATTGAAGACACGAGTTTAGGGGAGCAATATCTGTTTCAATTTCTCTTGAACAGAATGTGAAGTTAACTTCAGTGGAGTATGATAAAGGACAAAGGCAATTATTGGATGATCCTTTACTTGAAGACAATGCTGTTTATGAAAGATTAATAAGAAGATTGATATATTTGACCCATACAAGGTCATATATTGCTTTCAGTGCAACATCTTAACCAATTTATGCGGCAACCAAAAAAAATTCTATATGGAGGTAGCATTGAGAGTAGTAAAGTACATAAAGCAGGAACCAGATAAAGGAGTGATGTTTAAAGCAACAAGCAAAAATGAGTTTACACCTTTTTGTGATTCGGATTGGACTTCATGTCCGATGTCAAAAAAAAATCAGTAACTGGTTTTTGTGTGATGCTAGGAGAATCATTGTTTTGTTTGAAAAAAAAAACACACAGTGGCAAAGTCTTTAGCTGAGGCAGAATATAGAAGAATGACCATGGAAATTTCAGAGATGCTTTTGTTGATGGGAATATTTGAAGAGCTGGGAGTAAATATTAAAACTCCAGTCATATTGTTTTGTGAAGGCTGCTCTCCAAATTACAGCCAATCCAGTGTTTTACGAAAGAACCAAGCACATCTAGATTGATTGTCGCTTTGTCAGAGACAAGATACAAGGTCTTATAAAGACAGATTATGTGGCATCAAGTGATCAGCTTGTAGATGTTTTGATAAATAGCTTGGGAATACAACAACACAGCTACTTGGTGTCCAAGTTATAACAATCTGTTCAAGTTCTAACTTGAGGGCTAGTGTTGAGTGTTGTAAATAGGTGGTTACTAGTAACAGTTAACTGATTGTTGAAATGTAAATAGTCAATTAGTAGATTCTGTTAGTTGGTTAGAAGTATTGTTAGGAGAGTTAGTGAATGTGCATATAAACTCACAGCTGTAAATTTAAGTTGAATATATGAGAATACTTTCCAGTAAAAACTTTTAACAGTCTTTTTTTCCAGTATCGTTTACCAAGAATCATGATGGAATATTGGAAATTACGTAGGGATATCAAAACTATAAATTTTGGAAGAAAACTTGAACATCAAATAACCAGTTCATATTACATCCGTTAATGCAGCTCTCCAGTGCAAGAATTCCAGTCAGTAGAGTAAGAAAAAAAAACCTTGTTTTTTCTGGGTTGAAAGAACATTTTTTTAGGCAGTTTGAAACCCAGAGTTCTGCACCATAACTGATCAATGGCATATTATATCCTTTATCAGAAATAAACTCGATGTGGTAATTAAAGAATTTCAGAAATTGGTAGTCCACATAAGGCAGAGAGAGTTTGGAAGGAGATGAGAAAGAGGGGTTCGATGTGACATTGTTTCATATGCAGGAGTTATCCCCTGCAAACCAAAAGCTAGTAAACTTATCAAGGCAGTTAAGCTCATCAGCCACATGAAATTAATGGGATGGGGAGGTTTACACTTTATAATGTTGTAATCAATTCTCCTGCAAAGTCAAGGCATGTGAAATAAGCTATCAATCTTTGATGACATGTTGAACAGGGGGACCTCTCAGTTACAATTCTGACCAACCGTGATTTCTTTCATATTCCAACATTACTCAAGATGAAAAAAATGGGATGTCAACCAACCAGTCATACCTATGTCATGCTGATATGGAAGTTTTATCGATGGTGTCAGTTCAATAATTTCTTAAGGTTGAACCCATTAAGCGCCCTCGGTGGTTAAAGGGAGTGTTGCTCTCCCTAGCTCTCCTATGTTCGAACAATAGTTTCATAAGATGTGTGTGCGTTGTCAATAATTAAGGAAGATTCTAAAACAATACTACACTGTAGTCAACCCAGACTACTGAAAAAAAAATGTCTTAATTACTTCTAGGAAAAACAACTCCTTTCTACCACTAAGGCAACTCAATGAGTTCACATCCTGTTTTTATTTAGTTAGTTTAATATGGAGTAATTGATATTGTCCTGTTAAATTATAGGAATAAACCTGTATGTTCTTTAGTGTATACTCGAATTAGCATACGTATTCTCACACCATTAACAACATTTTTTTCAACTCAAATTATGTCACAACCTCTCAGATTTGAAGTTTATTCACATCCTGTTCACACCCATGTTTACTCCATCACCAAACTCATAATTCACCCACTTGCATTTTATGGGTGTGTTATTTCTTCAGAGTTGACAAGGAACATTCTTATACTGTTAATACTTAATTGCGGCTGACTTTACTACCCATTTGCTAATCCTTCGTTTAAAAGGTCTTCCATCCAGCATGGCATCAACTAATGAAACTGATTAGTCAAGCTTGATACTGTTTAATATACGTCATGCATGCTTTGCTCTGGTGTAACCTGAGAAATCCAATCTTTTATCTTTTGAAGTACTCATGTCAGACACATTTAGATACTGATACGAAGAAATATTCTCTAAAGACCCTCCAAATGCATGAAAAAACCGTAGAAAATTTGAATATTTCTAACATGTAACACATTGAAAACCTCAAAGAGAAAGATTAGATAATGGTGTGTGATAGATTTGTTTCGAAGTTAGGCCTAAGCTGGCCCATTTCCATTTGGCATGAGATAAGTGCGAAGCCGATGGGTTAGGTGAACTACACGTGGAAAACTACAGGGGGTCATTTTCTTGACTTTTTTTCACCTATAGAACTTACTTAGCTGATGTGTATTCTTTCATGCCATCCATATACCTTTGACTAGTCTAACTTGTATGATTAACCCTTTCTCAGTCAAATATCCCCTAACTACTTGATGTTATGATTGATTGCACGTTCAAATTTAAAGCTACCCTTGGTCCGGGATGGATCTAGGTTGAGGTAGTCATCCTATTAAAAATTTTAATTTTTTTTATATATTTTATATATTTTTTTATTAAATTTTTTTTCTTCTCCTATAATTTTATAAATTTGTCATCCTTAAAATTTTATAAATTGACCTTCTAACATAAAATTTTGCCTATAAAGCTACCCCTCACCTCATTATAAGCTAAGGATGAACTTTGAAAAGATATAGATAACCATGTGAATTACTCATCTTATTTTCCACCAATTAGTTGGTCTCAACCCCTAAACCAAATATATATATATATATATATATGATTCAATTACACAATGTAAAATTATTTTAATTTTACATAAATTTAAAACTGTTGGATAAGTAAAAATAAACAGTTGAGAATAAAAGTAAGAAATACGAAGATATTCACTGGAGTAAAAAAATAAAGAATCAGTCACAATCATATATTTTCACTTATCTAATAATATTATTATTTTTTTGTAAAATTAAAAGAATTTTAAATTATATAAGTGAATTCTATATATAGGCATAACTTTTTCTTCTCTCCGCAGGTAAATCAGAAGTCAAGGTTCCCACAACAAAGTAATGAAGATGTTTTTGACCGTAGCACCTTGGGTATATTGTATTGGCCCGAGCTGAGGTTTCCCACTTTTTATCTGATGTTTATCTGTTAGCTGATAATACAGAGAACTCATTGGCTACTTAAAACAAGTATGATATGGTTTCATATACTTAAAAATGACTGACATTTGGACATGTGAG